TGGCAAAGTTTTGCCAACGTTTGCTATGGAACACAATTAAATCAAACCCTAGCTATTCCATTTAATTTAGGTTATTAGTTTGCTATTTTATACAATTTTTCCTTTTATATATATGTTTATCGCCAACATGTTATGATAATTACATGTTGGGCCCATGCGTACACGGGCTTTTGTCATCTAGTATATACACGCAAACTCATAATTGATGAATTCTGAATGATTTACTTATGCTAGCAAAGTGTTTTCTATTTCAAAATACTCCAATCGATTTCAATAGTAAATAAATATTATGAAAAAATAATTGATTTATATTTTTTCAAATTAATATATTTCAATTGATTGGCCGTAAAACTAAAAAGCAAAAAGTATGAAGTTTCGACGAATATCTTGACATGCACGTTTGATAAAAATATTAGTATATAAATAAAATGTCATAAGCTATAAAATGTTTGATAAAAATATAATCTACCAAGTCTGATTAAAAAATGATGTGCAATGTGAATTCAATATTACTGAAAGAAATGAAACTAAAAATACAACATAAGCTATAAATTCAAAACAAAAAAGTTAACATAACGCTCTTATAGCAAATTTCAATATAGCATGTATAGATATGATTTATTTTTATTTTTTTAAAAATAATAGAACGTAAGTCTATAACCTTACTTAACAATAAATTTTATTTTAATTTAAAAAATGAAATACTGATAAAATTATGCTAATGAGAAAATAAGCATGATATAAAAAAAAAGATAATACAAAAAAAAAATAGGTAGATACACGTAAGTAATGTTGAGAACAAAAAGAAAATGAAATATATTAATAAAAAATAAAAAATATACTTTTACAAATTTCAGAATAATAAAAATAATTAAAGAACTTAACATGATAGAAGTAAAAAAATTAAAATAGAAATATATATAAAAAAAATTAATTGATAATTACACCATGTAATTATCAGCAATTCGCGTGCTCTATGAATTATAGAGTGTATTTACTCCCTATCAATTACACCAATTACATGTTCATCAAGTAATTATTTGTCCAACCAAACAGGACAAACAGTGTAATTGCACCCAATTATACCAAATCCAATTACCAGAGTATCCTTCCAAACATGCCCTATAAAAGAATATATAGTATGAAACTGATATATAGTATGGTATATAAATTGATTTACTAATATATTTTGGATTAATTACGTAAATTTCACCTTTTAGTTTACTTTTTATCATTATCCCTTATAAGTTTTATAAATTTTCAAAATTTCTTATTTTCATGCATCACATTAATGTATCTCGCGCATCAAATTAGTGTATCTCGCGTATTACATTAAGGTATCTCATGTATCAAATTAGTGTATCATGTATGAAATGTTACCTGGCGCATCATATTAGTATATTTCGCGCATCAGATTAGAATATCTTGCGCATCAAATTAATGTATCATGTATAAAATGTATCTCACATATCATATTAGTGTATCTCGCACATCATATTAGTATACTCTCGCGCTTCAAATTAATGTATATCATGCATTATATTAATGTATCAACGCTTATATTATTGTATCTGTTTTGAGGAATTTTTGTAATTATAAACTTTTAACGAATAGATTGTAAATTTAACTTAAAAGTATGTGCATATATATTTTACATGGACTAGATTATTTACAATCAATGTATCTAATGATATATGGATATACACAATGGCTTATATAATCTTTTTTATATGAGGTAATATACAAACATATATTTGTGTATGGAATGGAATATATATAATATAGGGCAACTTTCACATATAGCAAACAAAAAATTCATATTTGTATAATATAGCAAACTTTGCATAATTGCGCTCCATAGCAAACATAAAAATTGTATAATTCGCTATACATATACAAGTGTATAATTCGCTGGCCTATTTCGCTGCAATTGTATAATTTGCTTTGCATATAGTTGAATCGAATTAAAATGTATGTATGTTGCATAATTATAAGTGTATAGCAAGAAGATATATGTTTTT